CAGTCCGAAATGAATTTCGGAGACTTTTAAATTAAAGTTGGGGAATGTATATTCATTCTTAAGATCCATAATTGTTGTGGACATGTAATATATTTTATTTGACCCGATAAAATAAAATATAATTAAAACAGTCCGAGAAATACAACTTTCGGGGTCGATTGTACATTTCGGGACGAGAAGGGATGACCTCCCACATGGGTGGGGGCCAACCCACGTTTTTGAGAGCTCAAGGTTGACCTTGGGGACTGCACAACACTTCATGAGTGGTTGGCATGGGTTGAGAGTGAAGGTTGGGTAAGAGGTGACCTATGGTGGGCCTTTCCCTTCACTCATTCACCTATTGAGACAAAGGAAGGTCTCCTCACTCCCCATCCCCCTATTATTTTGGCCACCCTTGTTCCAGAAAGAAAGAGAGACTCCCAACAGTGGCGGACCCACTAAGGGTCCCACGGGGTCCCGGGACCCCATGCACTTCCAATAAAATACCTATATGAATAAAATATTTTTAGATAAAATTAAGTAGTTTATGTAATATACATCAAATGCCATAAATAAATTGAATGAGGAAAGCAGTGCAGTGGGAGCTCGCGCGTGATTAAGGCCTTTCCACCTCGCGGAGGTAGCAAGTTCGAATCCCCATTCCGTTTTTTTTTTGTTCTTTTTTGAGACTTATGACTCAGAAAGACCAAAATAACTTTTGGCTTTTGGTTGAAATCTCTAAGACCATACTTGAAAATTAAGTATGGATTCGGTCAATATGAAAAACAGTGTCTATTCTATGTCAATGCTATTTTTTATATATCAATTTAACAAAACATTATTAAATAATTATAAATAATGTTATTATTAAATAATTATAAATAATGTTTTTCTTTGATTGTTTTCTAAAAAATTACTCACTCCGTCTCTTTAAAATTGCCTTATCTTTCTTTTTTGGCCTGTCCCACTCAGATTGTCAAATACCAAATTTGATGGTTCTAAATCATTTATACTTTATTCCTTCTTTATCAATTTAATATCAACCATATAAACACATTTTTCTTAATAACTGTGTCACACCCTTATGTCTCAAAATCAGTGGGACGGGCTAGTATGAAATAAAAAAAATACACATTTTGATGTTAATAATTTAAACTCCGTTAATTTTTATTGGTTACCTTTTATATAATTAATCTTTTGTGGATTAATTATTAAAACTTCTTTGAATGTTAAGATTAAATTATTAAATTTATGAATTTCTGAATGTTTTTCAATGATTGAATGATTGCTTAATTACATTTGGAAAAATTCATAAGAATAATCTCATCTATTAGAGGTCTTCTAATATTAATCCCAAGTACAAGTAATTCTAGAATAATCTCAAATATACCTGGACTCTTCTCACATTGATCCATGTTACCCATAACTTGTTCAACCGGTTAACAAATTAAAAGAAAATGAAAAAAAGCTAAACAATCGTTTCTTCCTCTTCACTAAATTATGACTGCTTCCTTTCCTGCTTCCTTCATCTGTAATAGCTAGATTTCTCACCATTTTTAAATTTTCTTTTCTCTTTTTTGTTCCCCTCTACCGCATAAGTAAATCTCCTTTGCACCTTCCATTTCATTCAGAAATTTTATTTCAATTTCAGATTTGGAATACTTAATTCGTCAATACAACTCAATGATGGACGACTTACAATGATAGAGTTTAATTCCGCCAATACAACTCATTCGCGGCCGCTGATAAAACTTGAATGATGGACAATCGACGATGGAGACTGGATTGGCTAGGATGAAGGAGAGTTAGCTACGAAGAATAGTTGGCATGGACGGAGGGTCCGCATCGAAGAACAACCCCAAGGGACGACGATGAAAACGGACAATCATCGTCGTCGAGGTAAATCCAATCGGCCATTGAAGATCTGGCCTTGATGGCCAGGATGGAAGAATACTCAGTATGCCCAATACGAGGAAGATGAAGCAAAAAAAAGGAAAAGAAAAAAAGGAAAAAAGCTAAAAGAAGAAGGAGATGAGACTAGATAGGAGAAATTAAAGTAAACAAATAAAATGTAAAACAACTAAACAAGACGAAGATGAAACTTATGAGATGCGAGAATGAAAAAAGAATATGAAGCATAGCAGGTGGGAGAAGGTCGAAGAACGAAAAATGGAAAAAGAAATTTAAAAAAAAAAATAAAGAAAGAAGAAAGAAATAAAAAGAAAATTAAAAAAAGATAATGAAGTCCAATAAAACCCGCCACGTGGTCAGGTGACCGGCCAAAGCTGGTCATTCAGGTCACTGACTCATTTTTAGAAGACCACTAGTATATTTGAGATTATTTTAGAATTACGCATACTTGGGATTAATATCAGAAGACGGCTAATAGTTGGGATTATCTTTGTGAATTTTTCCATTACATTTTTTAGAGAGGTATTTTTGGTACTATCGGTGATGATTCTATTATAGAATATTCCCCACAAATGAAACCTAGGATGGTACATTTGTAGAATCGTATAATGAATTTTATGTGTGATTTTGTGCGTTATACTATCTTAATGTTTTGATGATGTACGCTAAATATGAAACGTTATGCTTCTTTAATATTTTACTTTGTTTTTTTTTATTAATTTGATATTAATTAAAGTTAGAATAGGGTAGGGACCCCGTGACTCTATTTTTCTGGGTCCGCCACTGACTCCCAACACTCATATCCTCCATTGTTGAAGCTATTCAAACAAGAAGGAACTCAAGGAAGGAGCTAAATGGGTGTATTTGAGAGGAAAGCTTGAGAAAAGAAGGTAAGGACCTTATTAAGACTTTTCGTTCATCCAAACTACATCATATGAATTGTTCATCATATGGAGGACCTCTAAGATGGGTCTACACGTTGAAAAGTGTAGAAAGAGAGGTTGAAAGATGGTTCTAAGTCCAAGAACGGACTTAGAGGCCGAAGAGACCGGTTCGCCGGAAAATAACCTTTTAGAGGTTATTTGTATTAATTTGGGTTTTGTGATGATGAAACCTTGTTAGGCACTTGTCAAAGGTGATTCAAGGGCCTTCACGAAGTTTAAAGAGTCGCCGGAGTTATCGCCGGAGTTCGTCAAAGTTCGCCGGAGTTTCACCAGAGTTCAACCGAGAAGGGTAGAACTTCATCACGCTCATTCGAGGTGAGTGGACGGCTTAATGTCTTATAAATCTTGGGTTAAGTATGAGATTACCTAAATAAATGTTATAAGTATTCATAATGATGTTTAAAAGAGTTTAAGCATGTGATTAGCCAAGGTGATTAGGCTTATGTGAATGAAACTACATGATTATGCATGTGGGAAGTAGAAAATATATATAAAAACATATGTGATGTTTTGGATGGCCAAAATGGAATTTATTGATTGTTTTAGACATGATATAGGTTGTATAAAAATTTCGGATCAAACGGATCACATTTCGGGGGTCAACCCGGGGTCAACGGGCCGTTGACCCAAAATTCCGAACATACCCGGCGCCGGGTATAGGGCATACCCGGGGCCGGGTAAGCTGCTGCCTCCATATTGTGTTTTCGCCAAAAACGCGAATCGGAGCCCGGTTCGAAGGGGGGTTAACCCCGTACAACCTATGTGTGTATATTGTGCATGGAATTGCATGGAATATGATATTTAAATGTCCAGGTTGATATTTATTGATTTAATTCTAAGACTTGGTTTAGTCTTTAGTAATAATATGATATAGACCCTATCTAGTGTGATATGTGGTAAGTCATAGGTCGGGTGGAGTACCCAGAGATCGGGCGTGTATCCTCAAAACTCGGTTAGTCGGTTATAGGGTGGAGTACCCAAGGATCGGGTGGTTATCCTCAAAACTCGGTTATATAGGGTGGAGTACTCAAGGATCGGGCGGTTATCCTCAAAACTCGGTTATATAGGGTGGAGTACCCAAGGATCGGACGGTTATCCTCAAAACTCGGTTATATAGGGTGGAGTACCCAAGGATCGGGCGGTTATCCTCAAAACTCGGTTATAGGGTGGAGTACCCAAGGATCGGGCGTGTATCCTCAAAACTCATAGATTACATTTAACAATCTAGGACCTGGTGGTGTCCCTATGATAATTTATTTGAACAAGGAGGAGTTCTATACACTCATAGGTATATGGGTGGGTTGGGATTTAAGCCAAGGACATTGGCTTCTATTATTTTCCCAAATAAACAATGACCTACGGGTCGGGTATTTCCAAGTGTATATATACTAATATGTATTTCAAAACTTGGGGGAAAGACTATACGTATATGTATCACCCTATGTTTGGGTCTTATACTTGAAACGTTAGTTATTCTACATTTAGCTTGCTACTCGCTCGGTACTTGTATTGACCCCTTCGGGGGGGCCCACCATTTCAGGTTGAAGCTAAGGCTAGCTATCCACACCTTGCTCGGTGAAGTGTTCCAAAGGAAGACGTGGTTCGTGCTTCCTTTACTGTTTTAAACTACAAACTATGCTCATGCATACTTTGTAATAAATACATTTGTTTTGGGCCTGCGTGCCTACGTTTTTGGCCATGTGTGGCCCATGATTGAATATCGAATATTTCCGCTATTCATTCAATCCAAATATGTGATGTTGTTATGTATGTTTACTTACTGAGTATGGTATGGACTATGTTCGTGGACGCCTTGTGTGACCAAGTCACGTTGACTCGCGGGTGACGTCATTTAGTCATACGGCGGTTGTACACGCGCTCAAATGCGGTCTGGTGCGTGACATAATTTATATGGAATGCTAAAAAGTTTCCACTTTATTTACTAGTTGATGATTGGCTTATAATAAAATAGAAGCCTTTAATATGGGTGACCTTCCAGCCTAATATGTAGGTCTTTGTACGCCTTTGTCAACTATCACCTTAACAACGTGATTTTTTTGCAGAGATAAAACATGACTGTGAAGCCCCTAAATGCATACAATACACAAATGCATAACAACTCGATTTTTTTTGCAAAAGGAATATAAGTTATATGGAATGCTAAAAAGTTTCCACTTTATTTACTAGTTGATGATTGGCTTATAGAAAAATAGTAGCCACAATTTACATTAATCTTCATCAACAAAGAATTCACGCACCGAATTCCCACAAATCATATTCTAATCAATAAATAGTAAATGAGAAACTAAAAAGTAATGTAAACAGTGTCATGAGATTGAAACAGAGTTTTATGCACCTAATTTAAATTTTAAGCATTCATCTCCTCATCAACATAGAGGGAATGAGATGCCGCAAGAAGAGCAGCACCGATTCCAGAACCGTCAATGGAGTGTTTGAAAACGACACGCGGTGCTACTTCCTCTCCTAACAAATCGTACAATGAGTTCTCTAAGCATCTACTGTATTCAGAGTAATGCTCATATAATCCACCGTCCATTGCTATCACGGTCTTCTCCTCCGAGCCACTTTCTCGTGATATATCTCTTCCCATCTTTTTCAAAATGCCAAATATCCCTGAAGCGGCAAGTCGCGCCCCACGTGTTGCAATTATATGACATAACTCGACGACTACTCTCCTTATTTTAAATGACATATTTGGTACCTGGAGTGAGGCAAGATATGAGAATATACTTAAAATGAGTGGTGATGTGGAATTGGGAAATGCCAAATTATTGCATACATAATTAAAAACCTATCTAATATCTCCTCAAGAGAATTTCATGGAGTATATACATACCTCTAAAATATCATTCAATTTTTCACCAACCACCCTTAGATCGACCGTTGTGTCGTGATGCATGGCCGACATGTCTGATGTCCTGCACTTATAGATATAAATTTAATATCGTCTCCTTATAACGAATTAAAACTCAACTTCTAGTGAAATCGGGAAGAAAATTACTCAAGGAAAATAAGAAACAATTTTAATTATTTAATAAAAACAATAATCTAAAACCACAAGTAATATTCATCACAAAATAGTGAAATAACTAGAAATATTTAGAAAAAATACCTCAATACAAATGGAACTTTTAACTTCAAAGGAACATCAATGCCAAAAAAGGCTGCTTCTTCAGCAAGTTTGAGCAGTACTCTTCGTAAAATTTCTCCCAAATACATACCGGATGTCATCTTTTCGAATATCTATCAAGAAATAAAAATATAAAGATTTCAAATAATGTTAACATTATATGCCACACAAGCTGCCTACAACACAAATGTTATATTAGAGTATATTATAAGAATGAAATAGAAAATCACCTGTTCTCCTGGATTTAAACTTTCAGCATCCATTGCATGATCATGCTCTGTCAGGGGCAGATGTGACGCCTTAAAATTACCCCATTCCATGTTGATAACCTATTTATGGTGTAAAATGTAAGAAGATTTATTTATTAGTTTTGTAACTTTATTTATATGCAAAGGTCATTTGATAACCAATGAGTTTGATTACATTAACGATTTTTCCACAAAAATGTACAATTTCTGTCAAAAATGGCACAGGACAAATATGTTAGAAATAATGTATTATATATAATGGAAATGTCACGCGGACAAATTCACTAGTTACATGACTTGACCTCCAACTAAGTAAATAAAATTACACGACTAATCACGATTACGTGTATAAGTTACATGACTAAATGTCTAAATGTGCAATTTTCTGATCAAAAGAAATAGTTTAATTTAAAAGACACTAACCATCTCTCTTGATTTAGGAAGAGGGCCATGCCACTTAGGGATTGCTTGTGCACGTTCTACATATGCAGCATTGGTTCCAGTTCCTAATATGACAGCAATACATACATCCTTGTCTGAATATCTCCCTCCAGCTAATGTGCCGATGGTATCATTTACCTTTTAGCAAACAAACAGGATCAAAGTCAATGAGATTAAATTATGAATATGAAATGGTAAATGAATGACATCTTCGGTCAACTAAGATGTTGACTTACAAGAGCTGACACACGCATATCCAAACCTTTTCTCTTAATGGCTTTTGCTAGTTCTTCAACCACATCTTTGCCAACCTGTACCATCCAAGCTAGTTAATTAGGATACTTTTAAATGGATTAGTTTCAGTTATAGTCTCAAAAACCATATATCATAAGGGACTTGAACATACTAGAATAGTTGGACCTCCACAATAGTAAAATATATATGAAATAGAATCTGACATCGATCTACTAGATTATACCAGATCAGACTTAAAGATAACATATCAAAAAAATCAGTCTAATTGGGATATTCTAGAAGTTTATCCTAAGTGGGAACTAATGTAATACTAGAGTATATGGAATAAGGGAGATTTACAATTTTAGTCCTGTAACTTTCGACCTTTATTGTTAGTGGTCTTGTAACTAATGAATTTTTGCATTTTAAGGACTTTTCCATCGGAAAGTACATTTTCCGGCAGAAAAATCCGACGCCGGCGACATCTTTTCCAGTAGACTATCGTCGGAAAGTGTACTTTTCAGGGAAAAAGTCATTAAATCGCAAATATTAATTACTCACAGGATTAAATTTGCAAGTGAGTAAAGTTACGAGAATAATAATGAAAACAGTTGAAAATTACGGGACAAAAATTTCAAATTTTCCTAAGGAATCATAAGGAATAATACCGTATCATCAATGGAGAAGCCTTTAGTCCACTTGATAAGACTACCGGCATTAATTGCAGTCTGCATTACTGGGAAGGAGAATGTGAACCCTAGTTCCATTTGCCTCCCTGCAGGCCGTTGATGTAACTTCTCTTCTTCTACTACAAAGTTTGCTAGTTTTTCCGCAATGAAGTCAAAAAGTGCCTAGAAAAAGTTTCAAGACCATTTTTGAAGTACAAAATAGTACACACAAACCAAATAGAGCTCATAAATAAAAAATACTTAATTAAATTACCTCTCCATTGCCAAGCATGAGATGAGGGGGTATGGAGGCTTCGGTGAACTCTTGGCTAACAATGCCACCCCCTTTACCTCCCAAATGCACTCGCATCACGCGGAAATTTGTTCCGCCCAAATCCAATGCATAGAAAACTCCTTTCTCATCACTTCATTATAATATTGTAAAAAAGGAAAACCTCTTAAGAACTGATTGTCACAAGTAGCCATACATGCAATGATTGGTAATAGTTGTAGTTTAATCACATAGATTCTCTTATTTTACAAGTTTAATAAATCACACGAAATACCATCTTTAAAAAGGCTAGCTTCAGATGTAAACATTATGAATAGTGTGATTTGTGAGTTTTTTAAAACTCGGGAACATCTTTCATAACCGAAAAAGCTCGTCGCTATACACCGGGGTTGGTGGCAAACCTACTCATAGCATAGCATTAGTTGAATAGTTAAACTGCCCCAAAAGGGCTACAAAGAAAAACTAAACTGCCCCAAAAGGGCTACAAAGAAAAACTAAACTGCCCCAAAGGCTAAAAATGATGATACCCATCCCTCTAGCCTCGGTATCGATCAAACAGTTAACAAGAACAATGTAAATTAGACCTTAATCACAAATAAACAGAAGCTCTACACATTTTTTACAAACTAGTCTTTCAACACAGAGATTCGAATTTGAAACTTACCTCTAATAGTTCAAAGTACACGAAGTTGCAATACCAAAACGACATTAAAAAGCCTTCGGTTATTACAAGAACGTGAAAAGTAATTGGTGTATACATATTTGGTGTACATTAAGGTTGAATAAAACAGAAACATAGCATAAGTCACTCGATCAAGAAATTGCCTCAATTCACTACAATCGAGGCTAATGGTCGATTTGTTTATCAAATAATTCACTTCCATTCAACTACTATATATACGTTGACGTCAATTCGGATGGATAATAGTTCGTATATGTTTGTATTCAAATTTTATACTACGTATTACTAGTAACAAATTACTCTCTCAGCTCTGTATATTTTGTTCTTTTATATCTTTCTCATCTATCTCACAAAGTTTGTCAAATATCACTATTTGATAATACTAGTATTTGAATAGTTGCAATTTATTACCCCTCCGTCCCGTAATTAAGTTCACAGTTTGACTTCACACAGATTAAGAAAATAAATTTGACTTTACTGCGGAGTACACTGTTTTGCACTGTTTAAACACTGTTTGACACTGTTTGGACACTGTTTGGCACTGTTTGACACTTTTTTGATGTAGATTATTTGCCAAATAAGGAAAGTTTTGAAGTGTGACGTTAATTTCGGGACTGCCCGAAAAGGAAAGTGAGAAGTTAATTTAGGGACGGAGGGAGTATTATTTTATTCACATTTTACCTATTCATTACAAATGGGAAAAGGGGCAAAAACACCCCTATAGTTGACACCAAAAGAGATCTATGCCCACAAACTTTGTTTTTGAGCAAATGTCTTCAAAAAAAGTGAAAAGAGGGCAAATAACCCCTTTAACTAACGGAAGTTAACAACTCCGTATGTTTGTGTGCTATGTTTCATATTACTCCGTATTTCTTTAAAAGTGTAGCTTAGTGAATTTGTGATGCATAAAACTATAAACAGATATTATCCTAAATAGGAGTAAAAACGTTTTGAAATTCCAAAATAGGAGTAACATGTTTTTTATTTCCTGAATAGGAGTAATCTGCCAAGTTTGGAAAAAATGCCATGTTTAAAAGCCTTGTAATGCCAAACTTGGCAGAAATTTACTCCTATTTAGGGAATAAAAAACATGATACTCCTATTTTGGAATTTCCAAACGTTTTTACTCCTATTTAGGGAATTCTCTCAACTATAAAACCTGTAAGATTTTGATCCCCAAATCATCATACGTGCTTGCCCAAAAAATATTTATTTTATGTTAACATAATGTTTCGAGTTTTTATAGATGGTACAATTTAGAGTGAATTCCCTAAATAGGACTAAAAAGTGGAAAAATTGCACAAATAGGACTACATTTTTTAAATTCCCTTAATAGGACTATTTATGTGTGTTTGGACAAATATACCCTTGTAACTTGTGAAATGTTTTAATTAATAATAAAATCATAAAAAAATTAATAAAAATCGAAAAAAATACTAAAAATCGTAAAAAAATAATAGAAAATTAATAAAAATATTTTTTTAAAAAAATAAAAAAAAATATTTTTTTAAAAAAAAATAAAAAATAAATAAAAAAAATCATAAAATTAAAAAAAACACATTACCACCCCTGCCACCCCCCAACACCACCATCTCCCATCACCGGACAAAAATATGCCAACATTTTAAATAATGCCATAATGATGGCATAATCAATGAAAATGTTGGCATATTGAAGAGTAATTATGCCATCTTTCTGGCATTTTCAGAAAAATATGGCATTTTTTTACCAAAAGTGGAAGAAATTTCACCAATCGAAGGTGGTGGTGCTGGGAGGCGGCGGGAGGCGGTGAGAAAGGTATCCATAATTTTTTTCATTTTTTATGGGTTTTTACTATTTTTTATTATTTTTTTAAAAAATTAAAAAAATAAAAAATTAAATTTTTTATTTTATAAATTTTTATAATTTTTTTTAATTTTTTTACGTTTTTTAAATATTTGTTTACGTTTTTTGTGATTTTATTATGAATTAAAGCATTTCATTATGAATTAATACTCTTAGGGGTATTTAGGGTAGAAAATCAATGTTTAGTCCTATTTAGGGAATTTTAAAAATAGTAGTCCTATTTGTGCTTTTTAGGAACTTTTTAGTCCTATTTAGGACAATTTCCGTACAATTTATATTTGTTCTAAGGCTAGAATAATTTAATATTTTTACTTGTTTAATAAATAAAAAATTAAAAAAAATTGGAATTAAATGAATGTGTAATTTTAATGTCACACAAGTATTTGTACTTTGAATTGGGAAATCATCCTAAACAAGACTAAACCTAAGCATAATTGCACAAATAGGCAGGGATGGATCCAGGATTCTGAGTCAAGGGGCAATAAATTTTCGGCTACTATAGGGCTCTGCGGCTATTTTTTAATTTCAAAAACAAATTTCATTAATACATACACGACGATATTTAATTGAAGTCCTCTAGAAAAAAGTATTGATACATTAAAACGTAAGAAATGACAAATCAAGTAAAAATTATTTGAAAATAAAAAATTATATATAACATTTTATGAAATTATTTGAAGATAGAGAGTTTAAAAGATACACATCTATCATTACTTTTTGAAGAGTTTTGTGGAAAGACACTATTTTCTAGTACCGTAGTACTTTTTTAAATCGAGTAGGTTTGCTTTGGATGTTTGGGATTTTTTGGTATTCTTTTGTTAGGTAGTGTTTCAGTTCCAATTGTTTTAGGCCTAAATTTGCACGTTTCAGGCTTAGCAAGTCAGGTTGCTTTGTATGATGTGACTAACTCTATGGAATAAGTATTTAAATCTCAAACCATTGAATTATTTTAGTGTTTATTTGTTCATATAAAGATACATTAATAAGTATTTTCCCTTTGTCAAGTGAACAAGGTAACGTATGGATGGTATAATAAGTTGTTTCCGTTAGTTAAAGGGCCTTTTTGCCCTATTTTCAGGATTGTTAAAGTTTTTTGCATAAAAATTAAGTTTGTGGGTATAGATCCTCCTTGTTGACAACTTTATGGGTGCTTTTGCCCCTTTTCCCCGTTACAAATCATACAAACTCTCTTTTCTTAATGGAAAATTCTTAGTGTACATGAGTTGTACACAAATTGTACACAAAACCCCCTAGTTGTCTATGTACACAGCGAATTGGTTTAAAAAGAAATTTGATGTCAAATTGTCTGTGTACACATGCAATGTACACATTTTGTGTACATCTTGTATACATCAAGAATGGTCCGTAACTAAAATATGTGACAATATATGTTAATATATCCACGTGAAAATCAAGAGAGTATGTAGAAAAAAAATCAAGAGAGTATAAAAGAGATACTCCGTTTTAAGATATGAAATCAACATATCATCTATGCGTGAATTTGGTTTAAAGTTTTTGGGACGGAAGTTAAACGGAGTAAAAAGCATAATACTCCGTACAAGTTTTTGGGTAAATCGAGGTTAATTAAGGATTCACGTACTTCTCTGACCTTGGATGATAATACCTAAGCTTTTTTTTACCTAAGTTCAACTACGTTCACGTCTATATATCAAACTAGATAGATGACATCAACGTGACATTCCACATGTATATTACTGTATTACTGTATCAGAGATTTACTAAAAAACGAGAACCTATGTCTGGATTCTAAATATTTTCCTACTACGTATGTTTTACTTGTCAAATTGTGATGGATTACTTAATAATAATATGAAAGAAATTGAGAATTGCGGATATAAAACTTGAAAATAATGGCATGCAAAAGCAAAAACTAATTAATTACTACAAAAAAAAAAGGATAGGATTCTCGGATCCCATCAATTAAATCAAATAAAATTACGTAAGAAATCAGATTTACCCGGTGGGGAGATTGTCGACGTAACTGATGAGCATCTTGAGTTTGCTGCCGCCTTCGGAGGCGAGGCCGGCGTGCATCTCCACCGTCATTGCATCCGCCAGCTGCCGGAGCTTTCCATTAGGGGTCGCGCACTTCTCCCTGAACTCGCGCACGATCGCCATCGCCCGGGCCCACTTGCTGGATTTCTTCATTCGCCGATGCACCACCAGGGCGGCAACGCCGCACACCACCACCGCCACCGTAGCTCCGATCACCTCTTTCCTCATCATTCTCTCTCTTTATTTTTTCCGTCTCTAGACAAAAGATCGAAAAACTGTGTAATAATGATCCGGCTTGAATTGGTGGATTAAGGATTGATACAAATTTACCATAAAAAAGGATTGATACAAATTTATTCAGATTAGGAAACCAGACGTAGATAACAAAACCAATTCTAAATAAAAAAGGTTATCTCAATCATAATTATTGGGAATAAGACATAATGGATATCTCAATCTTTAATTAGAAGATATAATACACCATATATAATATACTACGTATATGTTACGTTTTTGCTTAAACTTTTATGGAACAATTAAACAATTTTTGGGTTAATTAAACATTTAAAAATGAATATTTACAATTTATTTAGTGTGGTCACAATAACACACTTTTCTCTAAAAAATGGCCATTCATTAGAAATCAAATACTACGTATTGAAGTACTAAGTTATATCTGGTCATAGAAATCAAATTATCAAGTGATCGTTCCCACTTCCCATTTAAGTTAATGAATAATTAATTTTCCAAGTTAATGAATAATTAATTTTCCATATTTGAATTGAATGGTACTCGCAAAAGTTTGGAGGTGCCCTTGTGTCCAAATAAAGTTTTGTGTTGTCTAATTTTGGAATGGCTCAATGAATCGCAATTAAGTTGGAACTTTTTATGATCATAAGATATATGCCATTTGATCTCACCCATTTTTCATATGCTCAGTTTCTATATTCGTGGTACTTTTAAACTAGCAGTTAGAGTAGCACAAGGGTCATGTCTCACGATATAATCAAGATCCATAATTTGATATTAATGTGGTTGTTAGAGAGTAAAAAGCAATATCTGTATGAAGAAAAACAACTCTTTCTCCATTGGCCCCCTTTTTATGCGTCTCTTTCTTTCAGTCTCAAATTAAATAGACTAGATCGGGCCTAAAAGCAAAAACGTAACATCTTGCTTTACAATGCTTTAGCCTTTAGGGTTTATTGCATTGGTGCCATTTTCTCTTCTTCGCCACCCCTACAAAGGAGATGCATGCACGTTCATTGCTTCGAGGGCTATATGGCGGCAATCAATTAACACGGTGCAAGAGCATGGCAATTTGGATGGTTCAGAACAAGTTTATTATACATTTTTGTTCTGGAGCTTTGTCTGCTTCAGATGAGCATGAGATAAGTTCTTTTCATTGCAATGTCTAGAGGTTGTCTGTTCCTCTTCGGTGTAACCATGTAACCGATCGAGTGCATTGGTGAATTTTCATTGTTTATGGTTGGCAAGACCGGTTCTATCTAGTTCTTCTCATGCTTGATAGCCGTTATATTTATTTGTGTTTACCATAAGTATTTATAAGTATTTGTTGAAGAAAAGAAGAGAAACTGGGCAAATACCTTCAGAATGAGAGCTAGAGCATAAAACATTGCGATAAAACGACTTTTTGGACCAAGAGGATGACGTTCTGCCCATAATTTGAGTATAACTTATGGTAGAGAATTCCAAATGACTTGATTCGAGTTTCCTGCGAATGATAACTCAATAAGCTATAAATGTTGTGAAGACATCATGACCATAATATGAATTGATCAAGACTCAACCAACCAATAAAGTCAGATGTTGCTGGTGGGATTTTTAGATGCATATCTCTTTTAGTGTTGTATTCATATCTTTTGATTGGATGAATAAAATCACGTCATTCAAGTTTTGGTGGATACAAGTCTTCATTATCTACAACTTTGGTGAAGAAATCATGTCCAAATTCGTAGGGGAACATAACCAAAATTCTGGGACAAAACCAACACTTTTTTCTCCATTTCGGAGGAAGCGAAATGAAGCACATTTTTAGGCGCAGCAACCGGCGCCGCTCAGTCTAGAACCGACGCTGGTCGGAAGGTTTTTTTCGCACAAACGAGCCTGTTTTTGACTAGGGCCGGTCATCTGACCACCCGGCGCCGGTTGGGACGATTCCTGCTTAAACACAACGACTTGCAAGAGGGGTTTTTACAAGAAAACTTCATCTTCCTCATTTCTTGATCAAATATTGCTCCATACCTGATTGTTGGGATCAAATATACTAAAAGATGTAATTCTTTATCCTATATAAATTCCTCAATTCATCAAACAAAAAAATTCCATTCCATAAATTAATTCCTAGTTTTTATAATTTGTTCTTGCTATTTTTCTTCAACTTCTTGAGGAGGAAACTTTAACCTCCGAATTCATTGGTGTTTAGGTATTATTTCCTTTGTAATTTCATGTTTCATTATATTTCAATATTGTGTTGTGATTAATATGAGCATTAGAGGCCAATTTCTTAGCTAAGACTAGGGATGAATCTCTATGCCCACTAGGTGTATGATAAAAGTTCTAAACCAATAAATTGTGATTATCCTTTATATTTTGATTGTTTATGACTATGGTGTACAACATAGAAGTATGTTAGATTTAGTTTATGTTTGCAATTAGCGTTGAAGTCTAAACTATGAACATTAAAGGATAAACATATATAGTACCGAGAATATAAATATATCCGGTCTTATACGAAACGGGTGTGATGTCTTGATATTTAACGGAGTTTTCGGTAGATGAAAGTAAGCCGTAACGGGACTTACACATAACGAAAATCACGCTCTCGCTGCCTTAACCGGAGTTGAGAATATATTAGCGACATCGTATTCATAATTATTGGGAAATAACTAGTATTGAATAACTATTAAATCATTTAGGTGATTCCCTGTTGCCTTAGTAATTCTCATTCTTGTTTAAATCCATCTCAAAGAACAAAGTTCCTAAAAAAACCATTTATATTCTTTTGCATTCAATACTCAACTTTATAGTATCTACCATTTTTCTTTGGATCGACCCGGTATTTATCGGTATTTTATTACTATATCGACATTTGTATATTTGCAAGTTTAGCCCGACCGATCAAATCTTCAATTAGTCATCCTCCTTCTGAACACCACCTCACTCCGAGAGAAAGTTAGCACCAGAATTGATTTTTAGAATTGATTTTTAGGAGGTAATAGGTTCTAAATAACAGAGTTCCAAATTTATGGGGCCTCAATTTATTTATTTATTTAAAGCGGCTTTTTAATTTTTGAATTTTAACTTCAAACAGTCAAATATGAAAAAATTGCTAACCAAACCCTAAAAGTGATAAGTAGATACAGTTGAACAACCAAAGTCAATCCAAAATGAAAAAAAACGATAGATAGATTATTACTCAAATTAAACACGTACGCCCTATATTTATCAAGTTAGGACTACAATCACATGTTTATTATTATTATTCATTTTTTCAATTTATCAGCCTCGTAAATTGCTATAATATACGGAGTATGTAATAAGTTTGGATTTTGTGAGTTGAATTATAATAGGAAAAATTGAAAATAATAATCCCAACTATTGCTGGTCCGCTGAAAATAATCCCAACTATTGATTATTTTTGTATAATCTCAACTATATAGACGATCCGCCAATAATGGTCCGTGACCATATATTACCTCTATAAAAAGTGAATTTTAAATAGAAATTAAGCGTAAAAGTTAAAAATTTAGATTATTTATAGGGATTACTTGTTATATCTCATCTCATCTACTTTAGAAACTACAAGAATTTATTCATATGGACCATTATTGGCGGAAGGTCCCTAAAGTTGGGATTATTCTGTAATAATCAATAGTTGGGATTATTATGAGCGGACCGCCAATAGTTGGGATTATTACTATCAATTTTTCCATTATAATAATCTAAGATTGATATTACATTTTTGGTGGAATTGATCGAAGTTGCCTGTCGTAGATGATCGTTTTAGCTATTTTCATACATGTTTTATTTATTTTATTAATAAAATGTATTGTAAATACAATGTCTCCACGATTCAACGAATTCAGTAGCCTCAATGAGGATTTAATCAATTTAAACAGATTCAACCAATTTCATTACCACCAAACAAGCTCTAAATACATACATGTTTGACTCCCTTTATTCTTAGTTTCCAAAATTAATTTGTAGTGATACAATATACTCTTTTCATTCCACTAAAGTTGTCTTATTTTTCTTTTAATTTGACCCACGAAAGTCGTCTCATTCTTACTATACTTTACTAATTTAATATCAATCACATAAACACACATTTCTTAATAATCGTGTTGCCCCTTCATCATGTACCAAATTTAGAGAAGAACGGAGTAATACTCCGTAATACTTGATCGGAGTTGCTTTGTAGAAGGGGAAAAATCTAAAATATAGTGGTTTATCTTAATGAACAAATTTAGTTCAGTTTAGTTTGGTTTCTTCCTCAACATAAGAAATGTTACTAATTTCTTGATCTAAACAAATAAATAACAGAACAATTAATAGAAGAAAACACTTTTTAAAATATTGAAAATACTCCTTTAGATGTCATCTTTTCTTCATCAGGTGTCATCTCGACTGTACTAGTTACATGAGAGAGGAGTCGAGGACATTTGATTTAGAGATGAAATGGATGCCCAAAAAATCATGTATGAGACGGTAATATACATCGATCCGTCATTAGCCACACCAAAATGTGAGAGCACATGAAAATTAAACTTTGGAAAGTTGTCTTCGTACTTTGGCTCTAACAAAAAACCATATTTTTATGGGTAGGACATATATTCGGTGGGATTTGGTGCATATTGATTTGCATTAATGAGGATTGGATTAGACACTCAAGCTTTAACCAACTTGTATACCAACCAAATCAGCAAGGTTGGGCGTTTAGATATCATTGTTTCAGCCTTTGACTAGACCTGTACAAAACCGGGCCGGCCCGCCCGGCCCGCCCAGCCCGCCCGCACAAATTAGCGGGCTTGGGCATATATATTTACCCACCGGCCCGGCCCGGGCCCGGCCCGCAACAACATATGGGCGGGCTTGGGTTAGGGTGTAGGCCCGTTCGGGCCGATAAGCCCGGCCCGCTACATTTAGTATATATACATATATATATATATTTATATATACTAATTTATGTATTTATTTACATGTACACATGTATATTTTTATATTTACTAATTTATCTGTATACATATTTATAGTTTATTATGTTTAAATTTAAGTTTTTAGTTCTTAACAAATAGTCCAACCAATATAATATCTATTTTTGTACTTAACGATAATACTTTGTGCATGAATTTTAAATTTTAGATATAGTTTCTCATTATTATTTTTGTGTAAATATTTTTTTGTGTATGTGATGAAAGGCCTAT